AAATTTGGAAACAAAGGCCTAAAAAAATTCCATAGACATGACAACCTAGGGCTATGATACCACGACAAAACATGTGAAACAAAATTTAGACATGTCTTTCATTATGCACACTTAATAATAATATATATTGTATAATGAATATATATATATATATATATATATAAACTAGAAAAAAATAAATAATAAAACTAAAATATTTTATCCCAAAATTAAAGGATTTATTCTATTACTAAAATAGATTCTCATATCAAGAAATTTATTATATTCCTAAATTAAAGCTTTCATAAACTAAAGAATGTTGTTGAAAGGAAGTTGTTGATAAGTATTCACATTTATATTAAACTTCACATGTTGTTCATTGTTTAGATTGGTAATGAAGGATATCTTAAGATACAGAAACTAAAGATTGTAATTACTAGAGAAGATTCATTAATAAATAAACAATAGTAGAATCAACAAATATTTAATTTGCAACCATCTCATTGATCTTGAAACATTTTTCATTAACAACAAAAAATTTGAATAGAATGTTCTTTAAATTCGAATAGAATGTTTACAGGTGAAGCAAAACTTAAAAAGACATATAAAGCGTAAGGTCACTTTGTGTCTTATCAAGATAAGATGCAAGCCTCAAGATGGATCAGCGCCTACGAGTTTAACTAAAAATAAACAAAAATAAAGATAGTTCATAAATATATCTCACACTATCAACAAATTAACTTAAATTCATTATCATGTACCAAAAAAAATACACAACATTTACAAAAAAAAATAAAAATAAATTAAATTAAATATAAAAATATTTTAAAAAAATAAAGAAAAAAAATCAAATTTAAAAAATACAAAAAAATAATTATAAACAAAAGTAAAAAAAAAGGTTAAAAATAAAGTTGAAAAAATAGTTAAAAGATCTAGTTAAAACAAAACAAAACTAATTAATTAACAAACAACAACAACAACAACAAAACCTTTATCCCATTAAGTGGGGTCGGCTACATGAATCCATTTTCTCCATCGCATCTTATTTAGTGTCATATTTTCATTTAATTCTAATAAATTAAGATCATTTTTTAAACAATATGCCCAAGTCATCCTAGGTCTACCTCTGCCTTCTTAACATAAGTCGAATATAAAACATCTACTATTTACTCTCCTAACCAGATCATCACATGATCGACGTTTAATGTAACCAAACCATCTAAGAGGACTTTCTCTAATTTTGTCCGTCACAGGAGCTACACCATCCCTATCACGGATATATTCATTTCACATTTTGTCTCTAAGTGTAAAGCCACTCATTAAAAAAATAAAAAAAATCCAATTATTACTCTCATTTACATATGTAGCAAGTCAATGCTACCCATGCAAGCTTGCAATGCTCGATCTCCATTCACACTTGTGCGCTTGACCCCACTTGCGCTCACGCGCTCAATATCTACCCCACTTGCGACATTCAATTTTTGCCCTTGGCTTCACACACACTTGTTCACAGTGCTAAATCTCTCCATTTGTGGGATCTGATTGCCCTCCCTCTTCAAGAAAATTGATCTAAACCATGAAAGCTTAAATCCTCTAATATGATATTACTTAACATAGTAAAAATATTAAGTACATTTTATTTGGGGTGATTACCGCAAATGCTCTGAGACAAAGTTTTGAGGTGTACATCTAATATGAGGAAAAAAAAAATCATAAGCCTCAATTATAACAAAAATAGAAAGCCTCGTGCAATTAATAGGCACCTTATATTGAATGTTGTCTCGAATGCCATTTTAAACCATGATTTGAAAACTTTAAGTTGGGTTCTTGCTGAACGGAAACAAAAACTACACAAGAACAAATCATCTTGAGATGATTCTTTTGGTATATTGTGGAGTATGTAATCAAAATTGGTGGCCCTGGCACTTGACTGAAGGGCCATTGTTCAACAATATAAGAAAAAAAACTCTAATAGGAAGCATCTATTAAGTCAATGAATATGGAAAAATGAACTGCTAATTAAGCTTTTACCAACAATAACAATTATGAATAGTTTTTTTTTAAATAACCAATAAATTTAAAAGAATTTGTTTTGTAATCTACATAACAATGCAACTAAAGATGAAAATGTTATCTACGAAGTGAAGTGTACTTGATTTAATGCCATCTTACTAGAATTGTGCAATGTTATTTCAAGCAATAAATAAGATTACAACCTATATGCAGATATCTTCAATGATGATTATGATCTCTCTCTCTCTCTCTTCCATAAAAATTGAGACTATGTAGATATCTTCATATAATATATGACCATTAATGTTATTCAGATTAGCTTCAAGAAAGAGATGAAATCAAAAATGTACTTTACTAAGTAAGATAATTTTAACATAACGCTGCAAAAATATAATTAGTCAAACAGCCTCTAAAGCAAATGTCTTAAAGCCATCAACCAGAAAGAGCATATATCTTACAGAACATATCCAAAACGGCCATCTGGCAGTATCATTGGTACCATTGTTACACCAGGCACGGGGCCTCTTCCGTAGGCCATAGGCTGAAACAAAAGCAAAATCAAATAAGCATAAGAAGCTCGTTATGCTGAGAAAAGATGGTACAAATCATATGGGAACTTAACAAAGCATCTAAAAGCCTTGGAACTGAAAGCAGAAACAAAAGAAAACAAAACAAAATAAAAGAAGATATACCTGACCAAAACTACCAGGCTGAACACCATAGGCCTCTCCCAGTAAACCTCGTTGATGTTGGTAATTTGGAAGTAAAGTACCTTTCCTTAAATCAGTCACAGTCACAGAGGCCGCTTTCTTATCAGCAGGAGGTTTCGCAATGGAACACTCAAGAATATGCCCTATTTTAAAGTAAAATAATAATAATACAGCTAATACAAAAAAATAATAATTGCCCATTAAAAATAAACAAAAAGACTACCATCGAGTTCATAAATTTCAGTGTTCTGAAGGGCCTTCATAGCAAATGATCTCTCCGCAAAATGCACAAAACCAATTCTATTCTCCTGTCCAGATTTTACATTAGGCAAAGCAACTTTCGTAATTTTTCCATGGCGTTCAAACAGCTTTTTCAGCTTATCTTCAGTCACAGTCTTGGGCAAATTTTTCACATATATTGCCTTTATCTGTAACAATGAAAATGGAAATCATGTTAACAAAAATAAAAGAATAGCCAAAGCAAGTCCAAAAAAACATTCGATATACCTGTGCAGCTGAAGAAGAGTCCCCACTTTTTGGGTCCGCCCAGCTCACTGTAAGGGCATTAGATTCCAGCTTGAATTCTGGAACTGACATTTTCTTTCTAGAGAACTCAGCACATGCATTGTTGTAGTATTCAATAAATGCAAACCCCCGATTGCGAGAAGAACTTTGTGGGTCCTGGAATATCAAATATGAAGAATGAATATTTAAGCTAGAAAACAATTGGCCAAAGTGCAATATTAGGCGTATAAATTTATTCAACAAAAACACAAGGATACATTCATCCTACCAAAAAGTGCAAATTGCTATAACCATTTCAGGATAAAATAGATACACAAATGTTTCTGCAGGTTTCCAATTATTTACTTGCTCCGGCATTACATGTTAGTACATAGCAAGGCAAGGATGTTGGACAAAGCAGATAGAACTACCTTAATTAGTTGGACACCAATTACACCTGGGCCGATTTTTGATACCACATTCCTCAAATCATCCTCAGTCCAGCCCCTGGGTACATTGCCAATGAAAAGTTTATTCTTTGCTTGAGATGTCGAAAGCTTGATCCTTTTACCCTGAGACAGGTTGCAGCACGTCAAATCATTAAAAAAAAATAATATATGCGTATGAATGACCAATGGCCACCCAAATAACAGTCAAAGAAGATGAAGTAAACCATAATGCAAATGTGCTGAACTAATACCAAAATCTAGTAAACAATAACTTCATCACAAAGAAAGAAAAAGTTTTAAATAACAAATTGTTTGCAAGTAATAAATGGCCCTGATGAGCATATAAGAGACCAAATATCATGGCTATCTTCTATCAACAGAAAATACTACGAGAACAAATCATTACTGGGGCCTCAGTGAACTACTATAGCTCCTACTAGGACAACTATGCATTAAAATGTATCATCTCGCCATTCTCAAGATGCAATAACACCCATGAGATATATGCTTAGCAGGCTAAAACAATCAAGATTTATGGAAGACGTTGGTGTAATAAAAAGAGATCAAATGAAATAATCAGACTTTTAGCATAAAAAATACAAGACCAAGAAATATTATGAGCTAGATGGAAGCCAGCTACTCCAAAAGCCCTGTAAAATAAGTATATTGTTCCTTTGAGGCACTCTACACAACCAAAGTACTGCCATCAAACGTCACCCACTAGGTTATTACATTACCAAGTAGCAAGAACAAGTTATGCAACAACAACAGTAAAAGCAATACCTTGAACTCAGTATTATTCAGAGTCTCGATTGCATCTTTAGCCAATTCCTTGGTTCTGAATGTAACAAAAGCATAAACCTTGTCCTTCCCAGATAAAATCCTAACCTGTCATCAACATGGAAAATCATCAGATGTGCACACAAGAATTGCTTACAAGCTATGACCAATATATCTCACCGCCACAACTTCACCAACTGTTTCACAAAAACTCCTCAGAGCTTCATCCGAAACATCCCTAGGTAAGCCACCGATATAAACCTCGGCACCGTGTGGAGGAAGAGCAAGTAGCTCATCATCCTTCTTATCATCACCATGAGCAGTGATTGCATGGAGGTCAACAGTCTGGGTCTTTGCCACCGCTACCTCCTCACCTTCAGCCTCCTCTTCCTCTTCCTCCTCCTCCACTTCTATCTCTTCCTCAACCTCTTCCTCTTCCTCAACCTCCTCCTCAATCTCCTCTTCAATCTCCTCATATTCAACATCATCTTCCATGTCCTCCTCAGGTTCAGCAATCACCTTCCATTGAGGCTTCTCAGGTTCAACAGACTTGGTAACTTGAGCACTAGCTCCTGACCTCGGCATTTTATGTTATCTCAAATGAACTTGAAAGGGAGCCGTGAAGGAGACACGGATGCCAGTAATTTTTGTAGAAGCAAGGCTGAAAAATATGAAGAGGAAAGAAATGCAACCACCAGCAGAAGCTGCAGCGTAATAATATTGACTCAAAAAATGTCATGGGGAATAGTTCAAGGGATTTTCAATGGAAGATATACAATGGAATGAGCAAAGAAAAATAAATTACTGGCAAACAAAAGAAACATTTATATGACAATCAAAAGATGCTCTATAAATTTTCATAATGATCTCTTTTTGTTGTTTCGATAACATGCCGAAGCCCATAATATAAATTGACTCAAGGAACCAAACTTGTGAAGGAAACATGAAAAACCAACAGAAGAAACAAGCAAACAGGAAGTAAGAATATAGCATATTGAAACAAGTCAAGGGTTCAGAAATAACAAATAAAAAATGGTCACCACAGAAACAAGGCAGAAAACAGAATCAACTAAGATTGATGATATGTGAATAGCTCTGCAGAGGTATGGTTGGAAAAAGTTGGTAAGGACAGCATTAAATTAATCTGCGCAATTGAGAATCCCACACAGTTCTGCAAATCCACATAACAAAACAGTAAAATTTAGCTAGATCTGATAGTTTAGAGATATGCACTGGATACATTTTATGAAAGAAAATGCATCTCGTATGAGTATTACACAAGTACAAAAAGCCCAACTTAACTCATAGATGATAAAAGAACAAATGTTTATTTCATAATTAAAGTTTGTCTTCTGGATTTACTTCTTCCAAGAAAGTTGGTTCATTAACTACTTACATACCTTCTTATCTTATCTTTTGACAAAAAGGAACAAAATTCAATAATCCAATCTCAACGCTCCATTTCATTCCATTTTTCAAGACAGGACCAAGGAAATTAAGGTTTTACTCTCTGTGAGAATGGTAGATCATTCAACAAAGAGCCTCTCCTCCAGGTCATAAAGTTTTTAACCAATAATAAAAACCAACCTTCCACCGACAAGCGTGGTAAAGCAAAGAATAGTGTAAATTGCCATAAAGAAGTCAGTGGCCAATAAACTAGAAATCCCAACGGTCAAAATCAAATTCCAAACCATAAAAATTCAATGATAAAATATTGGAATAACAAAATTCTAAAGAGAAGCAACAATAAAGATAAATTACAACTCTCTATTTGTTCTTTCAACCAGCTGGGAAAATACCGAGAACTAATAGAATATTACCGAAATAAGTTAAATTTACACCACTTGCATAACCTAGGTTGTAACTTACCATGATTTGGCACATTTACTTGAGAGAAAAATTAAAATACTAATTTTTCATTTAATTTGTCACTTCCAAACTTGAACTAAGGGAGAATGATAGGGAGTGCGATGATACATTCCAAACTTTGCCTTCTAAAACATGATCCCTGAAGGTACAAACTCAGGCACCATGTTATGCATTTATTAAAAACAGCATTTCAAATTTCAAAAACATTTCAAATAGTGATAGTGATTTCAATTTTAAGAACTATCAATCAAGACACGCAAAGTATGCTTATATATAAAAAAAATATTTATTTTCCTATACACCAACAAAAATTCAAATGATTTTTAAAGTAAATTTGTCATATGGCAGAAGACACTCGTAAATCCCAAAACACACAAACCATCCCAAACATTTGCTTTAATCCAAAGTGATGAACATGCACCATCTAGCATAAAATATGGCACTCAAATTACATCGTTTTTCTCCTTCATCAACTATCATAACCATCTCACTTGAGTTTTCTTAATAAATAAAATTCAAAGAGCGACAAATTTTTTAACATATGAGCATCATCATCTACAGACTCAAGTTCTACCAAATATTCAAGTCCTAACAAATGATTATGCCTAGGAATTCCACAAATTGTTCTTAAGAAAATATTCATAAATAAAGGAATTATTGACCAGCGAAAACAAAATGAAGTTTAAAAAATAAAAAAAAATAAAAACCACTGGCTAAATCACTAAAATTATTCACAACTAATATAATAAGTATATTTGTGGAGAAATTAACAAGTGCATATCCCATCAATAAAATGTCTTAAAATACTTTTACTCAAAGTCTATTCAAAGCCTTCTATATTCAATTCCATATACCAAAATCGTTACCTTTATTCCTCCAAAAAACTTTCTAGTGAATCTTCAATCACATTCAATTTTATCATCGGAGCAATTATCGCTTAAATTTATCAAATGAACAGTATTTAATAAGAAGTTGCTCATTCTATTATTTCTTAATTGAAAAAATGTTACAAATTTATATACACTCCCATCTCTATAGATTAGTAATATCTTTAATATAGAAAAGATCCTATAAATAGATCACTCTAACTAGATTACCTAATATAAAACTTCCTAGATTTAGGTTTATTACTTTCCATAATACTCCCTATCAAGCTGGAGCATGCATATTTATCATGCTCAGTTTGTCGCATATATACTCCATTAATGACAATCTTGAAAATGTCACTTAATTGTTCCCTAGTTTTTATACGAGTTGTAGAAATCAAATTTTATTGAATCATTTCATGAAAAAAATGACAATCTGCTCAATGTGCACAGTTCATTCATGGAAGACCAAATTCGAGAAAAAAATGAGTTATAGCTTGGTTATCACACAACTTTGCTGAAACTATCATTTTAAAACCCATTTCGATCAAGAATTGGGATATCCACATTATTTCACTCAAAACTTGTGTCATTTCTCAAAAATCAGATTTTGTATTATATCGTGACACAACATTCTACTGTTCACTCTCCCATGAGAATAAATTACCATCAACAAAAACACAATATCTAGTAATGAATCTCCGATGAATCTTGGAACTCACCCAATTTGCATAAAAAATATTCAATATTTCTATGCCCATGGTTCAAATATAGAATATCTTGTCTAGGAGCTCTTTTAAGGTAACACAACATAACATTCCAAAGCTGACCAATAATTGAGTATGGGGGAAGACATAAATTGGCTTATACAGCTAACTAAATAAACAATATCAGGGTGAGTCACTGTGAGGTAGTTTAATTTTCTTACTAACTTTTCTATATTGTTCAAGATCATTGAAAGACTCTTCCTCCTTGGTAAGAGTTTGATTAGAAAACATCAACATATTGCATGATTTGACTCATTATTTCCCAATTTCTGCTACCAAATCCAAAACATACTTTTGTTGATATAGAAAAATAATTTTCTTGGTCCTTGATACCTCAATCCCTAAAAACTATTTAAAGAAACCTATATCTTTGTGATGAACTGATTTTGGAGAAACATATCACTCCCAATTATGATAATGTCATTAACATAAACCACTAATAGAATGATCCCCAAAGAAGATTGATTGTAGAAGACAATGAGATAACTTTTACTTTTCTGCATCCCAAACTCCACTAATGCTTGGCTGGATTTTCCAAACCATGCCTGTGGACTTAGGTACAATCCATATAATAACTTTCGAAAACAACATACTTTCCAAGACTCCCCATGAGCAACAAACCCAAAAGTTGCTCCATGTAAACTTCTTCTACCATATCACCATACAGAATAACATTCTACATATCAAGTTAGTGCAGGGCCAAGAACAAAACTAAACGAACTAAAATCAACTTAAGTACCATAAACAATGTGTCTAAGAAGTCAATCCCATAAGTTTGAGCATAGCCTTTAGCAACCAAAAGAACTATGAGACAAGCTACAGATCCATCAAAATGAAACTTAACTGCAAACACACATTTACAGCCAACAACCTTCTTGTCATAAGGTAGATCAACTAGTTCAAGAATTTCATTTTCAGTTAAGTCATTTATTTCATCAAACACTTTTGTTCGCTACCCAGAATGAGATACAGTTTGTTGAATAGATTTAAGGACCTCAACAGAGTTGAGCAATAAAAAAGCAAGAAAAAAAAGAAAGCTTAATATAGTTAACACACACAAGGAAATGGAATAGACAAATTGGCGTTTACCTCTTCGAAGAGCAAAAGACAAATTAAGGTCACTAGGAGGAGGATCCACTGAAAAAGATGACACTACCGCCATACAAGGATAAGGGGGACAAAAACTTCTCAAGCAAAAATTAGTGATATGTGATTTAGGTCGAGTCACTGGTGGTAGAAATGGAGCTGAACTAATGATGTGAAACATTAATTCATAACAATCTCGTGAGAACTTAGATAATAATGAGTCACTAAAGAATGAGGTTTTTTCGTGAAATGTGGCATCGATACAAACCATGTACCTGTTTAAGAGAGGAGAAAACATTGATACCATTTATGTGAACTAGATTATCCTAGAAAGACACCTTAATAATTAGAGCCCAATTTAGAAACTTATAAGCAAGTATCACGAACAAAAAAAGTACACTCAAATATATAAGGCTCAATGGAAAAGAGAAAGCACGTTGGAAAAAAAAATATGGTAGGGCATATAATTTTGTAAAATAGTAGATAACATCCAATTGATAAAAAAAGTAACAGAAACTATATTAACCCAAAACTATTTGGATACAATATTTTGAAATAAAATAGCTTTAATTGTCTGAAGAAGATGTCTTTTTTTCCTTTCAACTACTCCATTTCGAAATGGAGTACCGAAACAAGATAATTGGTGAAGCGTCTCATTTTGTCATATATGTTTGAAAGGTGCAGAGAAATATTCTTTGACAGTGTCACTTCTCATAATTTTAACAAAAACATTAAATTGAGTTTTAATTTCAGCACAAAAAATGAATATGCAACAAAAACTCAATATGACATTAAAGTCAAATCATATGAAAAAATCATCCAAAAAAGGCAAGTTATCAAAATCTATTAGATAAAAGCCCCCATGCATCTGAACCAACCCAAAATTCACTTTTATATGTTCCGAGAATAAAAGACAAATAATGGTGTTTCGCAAATTGACATGACTCACAATCTAAAGATATAATTGCTAAAATTGATAGTATAACTTTTTAGCATTGATAGTGATAGATACCCTAATAAAAAATGGACCTCAAACGAAGATAAGGTGTTTAAACGGGCTATGAGTCAAGGTAGTTTGTTATCTAAAATATATATCCCCTCTAATTCTCATCCTTTACTATAATCTTCATCATAAGATCCCAAAAAAGACAATGGTCAAGGAAGCGAAAGATACAACAATGCATGTGTAATCTTGCTAAGAGAGACAAGATTAAAAGAGAATTGAGGTAAACTAAGAATAAAAGTTAAAGGTAATATAGGTGTAAAATAATTTGAGTCATAATAAAGAACATAAGAAGTAGATCTATCTACTAAGATGATGAAATAAAGATAATTATGAAAAGTAGAACAGAGTCTTGAAGTTCCTATCATGTGATCTGTGGCACTAAAATCAAAGACCCATTGTTTGACAGAGGAAATAAAGCGAGTATCAATGTTACTTAGACTCAACAAACGCAATGACAGAAAGATTTCTTGGGTGCTTCCTAAAATTGGATGAATTTAGTACATTCATCTGCAAAAATCGAGAGTTTGACTCTAAGAGGCTTTATTAGTAGTGACAATCTGAACTGACTGTGAGATTT